GTGCAATCTAAGAAAATGGCTAAGATTATGATGGCCGCCATGAGCGGACCCCAAAAACTGAGGGAAGGAGTAAGTCAAGAAAGAAAGACTGGGTTCAAAGGTCAAAAGAAAGGGAGAAATGACCTGGGATTGGATCAGTGCGCCTATTGCAAAGGATATGGACTTTGGAAGAAAGACTGCCCCCATAGGCCTCAGCTGCAAGTTGAGAAATCATCCACCCCGGCTCCAGTCCTTGTAGAAACTGCAGAATGACGGGGCCGGGGCTCCATTCTAATGAGCCCCAGGGATCCCAAGGTAATGTTAAAGATTGGGGGCAAACCAATAGAATTCCCAGTAGACACCAGGGCAACGCATTCAGTTTTGCAAAAGGCGGTGGGGCCTGTGTCTGATGAAAAAGTTCTAATACAGGGAGCCACGGGAAAAACTAAAGCTTATCCATGGACAAAAACCAGAATAACCTATCTGGGGGCAGGAACTATTACCCATTCGTTCCTGGTGATGCCCGAATGCCCATACCCACTTCTGGGAAGGGACTTGCTCCAAAGTTGTGGCTACCATAACTTTCCAGGAGGACACAGCTGAACTTTCATTTGACCTAAGTCCCTCTGTTATGCTCCTTACCTGTCCCATATCAGAGGAGTACTTATTGGCAGAAGAAGTATCCGCACACTTGGACTTACGTCAGTGTCTACAGGAACTTCAGAATAAGATCCCTAATGTGTGGGCAGAAACTAACCCACCTGGGTTGGCCTCTCACCAACCTCCTATTGTTGTACAGTTAACTAGCACCGCCACCCCTGTCCGTGTGCGGCAGTACCCCATCAGTCTAAAAGCAAGGAAGGGGATTGCCATCCATATTAAAAGACTCTGGGAGGCGGGCATTTTGGTTCCTTGTCAATCAGCTTGAAATACCCCTCTGCTCCCTGTTCAAAAACCAGGAACTGATGACTACCGACCAGTGCAGGATCTCTGGGAAGTGAACAAGAGGGTCGAGACCATGCATCCAACGGTGCCGAACTCGTACACCCTTCTGAGTTGGCTGACGTGGCCCTTTCTTGGGGCCGAGGAATGAACACAGAGACACAAAGACGCAGACACACGACTGCAGCCCTTACAAAAAGACACAGACGCCACAAAGACAGTATAAGGCTGCAGCAAAAAGCTCTTGCTGTAGCTGCTTTATTCATAACACAGCCTGTTTGGCAACTGTCCCACTGCAATTTCTTTGTTCCCACACTGTCCCGACTCAACACGTCTCTGTTCCTTGTTGTTTCGTCTCCGGAGAGCAGATGTTTGCATCTAAACTCTCTAGCCCCTCCTGTTTGCAGGGTTAGGGCGCTCTGGACTTGCGTGCAAGGCCACAGACATGTTCTTGAGAAAAACAACAAGGAATCGTTCCCAGACACAGGTGTCCTCTACAGTTGGCTGCCTCCGAATCGTCAGGTCTACACTGTACTGGACCTAAAGGATGCCTTCTTCTCACTCCCGTTGTCTGCAGTAAGTCAACCTATTTTTGCCTTTGAATAGACTGATCCGGAGGGAGGATACTCGGGGCAGTTGACCTGGACTAGATTGCCACAAGGCTTGAAAAACTAGCCCACTTTATTTGATGAGGCTTTACGTCAAGACCTAATTCATTTTAGACAAGAGCACCCTGTAGGTGACTCTCTTACAGTATGTGGATGATCTTCTGGCAATGGAAGATCGAGCCACTTGCAAAAAGGAAACTGAGGACTTACTGGCAGAGCTGGCCCGATTGGGCTATTGTGCATCAGCTAAGAAGGCTCAGCTCTGTACTCAGACTGCTACCTACCTGAGGTATGAGCTAAAGGGAGGAAAGCGAACTCTCTCTACTGGGAGAATTGAAGCAATCTTAAAGATCTGCAGTCCCAAACCAAGAAGCAGGTGCGTGAGTTATTGAGGGTCGTGGGCTGTTGCAGACTCTGGATCCCTAAGTTCACTGAAATAGTGAAGCCCCTGTATGCCAGCACGGGGGGAAAAGGGGAAGCCCAAGTTTGGACTAAACTAAATCGAAAGCCTTTAAGAGTCTCAAACAGGCGCTTGTAAACGCCCCTGCACTGACCTTACCTGACCTAACTAAGCCTTTCCAGTTACATGTGGCTGAAGCCAGAGAAATAGCCAAGGGGATCCTGGCCCAAAAGCTGGGACCATGGACTAGACCAGTGGCATGTTTATCTAAAAGACTGGACCCGGTGGCCTCTGGCTTGCCAGGATGTGTCCGGGACATTGCTGCGACAGCTGTCTTGGCTAAGGAGGCCTCCAAGCTCACTTTGGGGCAGGACTTGTGCATTATTGCCCCTCACTCAGTAGAGGCCCTGCTGAGAAGCCCGCCTGAGAAATGGCTCTCCAACTCACGCATAACTCAGCATCAAGTGTTGCTATTAGACCCTCCCAAAATTCGCTTCCTAAAAACAGCTTCCCTCAACCCTGCTACTCTGCTCCCAGACGATGAACCGTCAGAGCCACTGCATGACTGCCTGGAAATAGTGGGGTCATTGACTAATTTAAGAGCAGACCTCACTGATCAACCATGGCCAAACCCTGATGAGGAGCTGTACACGGATGGAAGCAGTTACATATCTGAAGGAGTCAGGTATTCAGGGGCGGCTGTGGTCACGGCAGACTGGGTTGTTTGGGCTCAGGCTTTGAGTCATGGGACTTCAGCCCAAAAAGCGGAACTCACAGCCTTAACCCAAACCCTGCGGTGGGGAAAGGACAGAACTGTTACTATCTACACAGATAGTAGATACGCCTTTGCAATGGCTCATGTACACGGAGTGCTTTATCAGGAGCGAGGCCTACTGACCTCTAAAGGCAAGGAGATAAAGAATAAACTTGAAATTCTGGCCTTGTTAGAAGCCATATGGTTACCAAAAAATGTGGCTATCATCCACTGTAAGGGGCACCAGACGGCTAATTCCCCAATAGCAAAAGGAAATGCTTTTGCTGATGTGATGGCCAAAGAGGTAGCTCAAAAACCAGTGGGGCCTCTCCAGATTCTTCCTGTTTTGTCTGAATGGCTTCTACTACATTCCCCAACCTATACCAATGGATAAAATAAATTGGGAAAAGCCTTAAAGGTTAGAACTGCTACAAGAGGGTGAAAGGTCCTTCCAGACAACAGAATTCTGGTTCCCGAACACCTGGGGCGAGACCTGATTCGGCAAATACACCAGAGTGCCCACCTTGACAGCACAAGACTGACTGAACTCCTCCAGAGGGACTACTACATCCCTCGACTGCACCAAATGGCCCAACAGGTAACGACGATGTCTCGCCTGTGCTCAAGTGAACTCAGGTAAGGGAATTAACCCCCCTCCGGGAACTAGACTAAGGGGGAAAGTCCCAGGAGCACACTGGGAAGTGG